GGGAAAAAAGTATCTAATATTACTTTAGATAACTTTGTCTAATGTTCATCGAAACGATGTCGTTTTGGGGTTGAAAAATTAAAAAATCAGAATGATAATGACTATTATAACCCTGAAATAAATTAAAATTACAAATACACCATGATTTTCGCCCCAAAACGACGTCGTTTCGATGAACATTAGATAAAATTATCTAAAGTAACTTTAGAAAAACCAAACCCTTTATTCTTTTATATTTGACGTAGGAAGAACAATTTAATTTTTACCCCATTCCTTCGCTTGGGGTTTAAAGTTCTCTATTTGGCTATTTGTATTAATAATATCATGCAGATTGTATTAGGCAAAATAAATTTGCAGCACTATATATTAAATTATATAGTGGCAAAGATGTGACGCCATCAGCTGAGAGCAGAGAAAATGCTTCATATAATAAAATATGTCATTTTGTCATCTCAACTCAAGTCCACTCTTTTTTTAATTAAAATAAAACACTTATTTTCCATCAATCCACTTTTTCTTTTCTCACACAGGCATGAATAGGCATGCAATCTGCAGTTGCACTGCAGAATAACAATGATCTTGCGTCTTTTTTTTTTTTTCTTTTTCCAAGAAGCTTATATGGAATCCTACAAGCGGGGGAGGGAAGGGAGAAAGAAGAGAAGGAAAAAAAAGCACAGTGCATTGCGGAATATGAACTTACATACTTATATTACATGTTTTACAACTCTCTATCGACTAAACTATTTATAAAGATGACCTTATATTATCTACTAAAAAAAATGACCTTATGTCCTTTATTAATTAGAGCATAGCTACATAATCTCGTAAAAGACAATGTTTTGTTTAATACGATGGTCGCCATTTTAACTTGAAATACATGAAAATTAAAACGAACCAATTCATGTGATTGGACCACTAGTTTGGTGGCAATTATAGGGAGCGTTCGGTTGTTATTTTTAAGAATCTACAAAGAAAATAATAAAAAATTATTATTAACAATTTGTAATTTTTCCAAAACATGAAAGAATGTAAATAATAAAATATAATTTCATAATCATTAATAAAAGTACATCAACTAAATATAAAAATAAAAAATAAACCAAGTGCATATATACACCACATTTGATCCTCATTTAATTGCGGGCAATTATTACTTATTACAAAATTAAGACTACAACCCACGTCACCCATTTTTAAAGTTTCCTTTTCAGAGAAATAGAGGGTTATGGGTATCCCATATATGGTGGTCTGATGATAGAGCTTGAGATGCTGGTAATCTTAAACAAGGATTCCATTAATCACCCTCCTTTAAAACTCTTCCAACATAAGCATCAAAACGGGAATATGTTAGATGGTAGTGGAAGTGCACTTTATTCCTTACTTAACCCGATTATCTTTCATCTATTAATCTTATAGAAGAATTTCATTTTCACTTCTCATGTTTGGCATGAAAAAGGAATCACTTTTTCTTTGCCTTTTGTCTAATTGATGGTGGGGTTCCATACTTTTGTTGGATTTTTCTTCTCCCTTTTTGAGCAGTTGTCTGGTTGAGGTACCAACATCTAACTATGTTTGTTACAGTAATTTGACCAAGTTCAACATTGAAGAAGAAGCTTAAACGTTTTTATTCTTCCAATAATATATATATATATATATATATATATATATATATATATACACACGGGAACAGTTATATTGACAAACTTTTTGTTTACAAACTCTTACAAACTACACTAAGTATGACCGGTCATAATTCAATCAAGAGTGTATGACCGGTCATACTTAGTCTAATTTATAAAAAAAAATTATAAACGGATGTTTCCTCACCATCACAGATCAATTCATGGCCACATCAATCGATAATCTAAAATTGAGTTATAATACTTACATTATTCATATACTTCTCACGCATTTATCAATTATCACCATTACATTAATTGGTAGCCCCGCCAATCCATGCTTACATTCACACAAATCATTAAACTACACTTTCAACCCTACTTTTTTTTTTTCAATGACTTAAACTCTGCATTATACTTCACCTAGTATATACATTATACAATTATCAATTTCCCGAAAACATATCCTAAAGTATATAACATACATTACCAAATAACGCATTCAACCTCTATTTTGGAAAACAGTTTTAATATGAAACAGTTGAAATTTAGAAAAACATTATATGAACTAAGTCAATTATGGATTTGGATCCTTTTATGTGAAAAAATAGTCATGTGATCATGTTATTTGATCATAACCACTCATTTAAAAATTATATATTTTTCTCTCTCTTATCATCATCAATGAGTGAAAATGAATGGCTGTGATTAAATAACATGACCACAGGCAGATGACCACTTTTCCACATGAGAGAATTCAAATCTGTCAATTATACTCTAAAAAGGTTCAATTGTTTTTTGAAAAAAAAAAAGGGTCCAGTTTCAGTTTTCGCTAAAATCTTTATCATTGGCCGTGAAAAATAAAATAAAAATGCTACCCATTAAATTCCTTTTGTTGGGAAGATTATAAATTTGTACCAAACCAACACTTGCGAAGACTCGTGAAAGACCACTCTTGATGAAGTGTGTGGTCTGTATTTGAAAAAGAAAAGGCTAGTTGTCGAACAATGACTCTCTTTATGCATACATGGCCAATCGAATGTTTATAATTTGTTGGGAGTTATTAATTAATTAATAAGTATGATCCAATAAATTATAACCGTCAGATTGGAGGAAATAAACGGTTAAGATTTTGTGTTAAACTAAAATGTTCAACATCGGTATCAAATGATCATATCCCACACACACATATATATATAAGATTAATGTCTCTTATATATTGTAGAAATCAAATTATCTTTTACACACACATAAAAGTATGTGAGATCTATATTTTTTTTCTCTACTCTCTTCACGTGACTCTACATAGCCCCACATACTTTTATGTGTGTATAACAGATAAAATATTCCCTACAATATGATAAATATCAAATTCATATATATATATATATATATATATATGTATGTATGTATATACAGTATCAGACCCAGAAAATTTTATTTATGTGTGCATATTTAGTCCGAATATTTAGTGAAGAAGATTTGGGGTCAGTGCTCCCGGAAAAAAAATTTAAACAAAATTTTAAATGCATTAAAATATAAAAGAATATAAAAAAAATTATATCCCTTATGTTACATGAACCAAATTTTTTGTCTTGTTAAGAAAAAGACAAGACTAATTCATTGAATAATGTGTCATCTCACTTTCTTTAATATTATATAACTTGACAAAAAATTTTATTCATATAATATGAGGGATATGATCCTCAAACAACAAAAGAAAAAAAAAACTTGAACTTAACATAAAAAAATAGTAATCAACTTAACGATATAAAACCACTAAAACATAAGCAATAAATAAGATATGTTTCTTTCTTAGTATTTGTGCTTTATTCCTCGTAATATAGCCACTAAAATTGCTCCTTGAGTGACACTCATAATTAATTAAAAAATATATATCTTTTTTACTAAAAAAAGAATGTAGGACAAAATTTATGTGTGCACTTGCACACATAAAAAACTAAATAGGTCCGCCACTATATATATATGGGTTCGCTTTTTCTACAGTCAATGTAGATAACTTATCTACAGTGAGTCCAAAATGACGTCGTTTTGAGGCAGAAATCAAGATATTTTTGTAATTATAATTTATTTCAGGGTTATAATAGTCTTTTTCATTATAATTTTTTAATTTTTCAATTCAAAACGACGTCGTTTTGGGAGTGAATGTAGATAACTTATCTACATTCACTTTAGAAACATTAAAGCTTATATATATATATGTGTGTGTGTGTGTGAGGATATTGTTTATTATGTTACATGAGATAAAATATCTCATACAATATACAAAAAAAGTGGATGAGACCCATTAAGAGCCTGCTTGGATCCTCTCTCTTTTAAGTTAGAAGCTACTTATAAGCTAAAGTTAAAAAAAAAAAAGCTTAAAAAAGTTAAAAGTTGTTTGATAATTACATAAAAAATTTAGCTTAAAAACATATATTTCAAGAGAATTCTCTCTCTATCTTTATAACTCTTCCTTTAAAAATATATACACAATTCAAGAAAAGTTGATAAGAGCTTAAAAAAAACTCCTCCTAAGAGCTTTTGGCTTTTAACTTTTTTCTCCATTATAGAAAAAAGAGCTTTTATTATAAGAACTTTTCTCAAAACCTGTTTGGCCTAACTTCTACTTATAAATAGCTTCTAACTTAAAAAAGAGATGATCTAAATATGCACTAAGAAAAAAAGAGAGAAAGAAAATAAATGAATCTCAGTTACTTTTTTGCGTGTGTTTGGTGCGAGAAATTGTCTCCCATTACATATCAAACAATATTCCCAACAAGTATACAACTTACATTAAAAACAATTTCACTTATATTTCTTAACCCGCTTCAATAGTCACATTTCTCAAAAATTAAAAATATGGAAATTATAAAATTGTAGTAATAATTCCATTTTTTGATGAGTTACTGAATTGCAATAATAATTAATTTGAGTCTATTTGATAAAATAAATATAGAGGAAAGAATGAAAAAACAGAGAGCAGTCCAATACAACTGTTACATTTTTTTGAGGATGCAAAGCGAGAAAGTATTATATAATAGGAAAAAGTGTGTCATTTTAAATGTCACATATAATATCCTTTCACTTTTATAAAGAGTTGAGACTTATATCTTTAAAACTTTTTTTATCCATTCTCTCTCATGATTTATCTTTTTCTCTCACTTAAAAGACACAACTTTATATTCTTTAAAATGATATACATTTTTTTCTTAATATTATAGCATTGTAAGTGGCAAAAAATTTAGATAATTTATATTAAGTTACGTGTATAATTTCCATGTACGTATAAAAAAAAAAAAACACTGTTATCCAATGCACTGTAATATATCCTTTGCTTTTATAGACTCAGCAGTGAGCAGCTACGGGAGAGGGAGGGAAGTCACTAACACAAAAAAGCTATTTTTTTTTTTTTTTTTCACTGTCTCTATCTATCTCTGCTTTTCATTCCTTTATATCAGTTTCCTCACCTTCTCAATTTTTGGAAGAGTCAGAGAGAGAAAACTGAACCCTCTGTTATTCAGCTGAAAAGTCACACCAACAATTTATTTGGGAAAGTGATTATCACAGAATCTGAGGTAACCATCGTTCCTTTGTTTTTGAGCCTTGCATGCAAAAGTCACACCTTTCAATCGATCTACAACATTTCTTTGCTGTTCCTTTCGTTTTGCGATTTTTCCATCGAATTTAGGTTTTGGGTTTTCCATTTCTTACTGAATATTGACTTGGATCGGTTCTGCTTCCCAATGTTTTGGTGGTGTGTCCTTGAGTTGTTATTTTTTTCCTTCAGAATTGGGGTTTCTTATGATGCCTAACTATGTGTTTTTTTGGGGGTTTTAATTTTTGTTTTTCTGTAATAGATTTTAGATTATTTGAATGTTTCGATCTGTATATTTAGGGTTTGTATTCCTACCCTTGTGTTTTTTGGTTAATTAGTTAAAAATGGGACGTCTCTTTTATATAATTTAAATTTAATTTAATTCTCAGATGGGGCTGTTGGATTCTTAGTGTTAGAATTTAGAGTTTTTTGTGGGCGTGAATGGTCTGGAATATGCTTCTGATCATGATAACCTTACCTGCAAGTTGTTTGCACCTTTTGAGTTTTCTCTTTCATTTTTTGTGGTTTTTATTTTTGGTAGACTAAAACTCTGTTTGTTATATTGACGAGTCTAGGGTTTTTATAGGTAAAACTTCAGGTTTAGCAATGAAGAAGGTTTCCAAGACCAGCTGCAAGTCTGCATCACACAGGCTCTTTAAGGACAAGGCGAAGAACCGTGTTGATGACCTGCAGCTGATTTTTCTGAGCTTGCAGTTTGCCAGGAAGGAGAGCCGTTCAGTTGATGCTGTAGTCCTTGAGGAACAAGTCCATCAGATGCTTCGTGAGTGGAAGGCTGAGCTCAATGAGCCTTCACCTGCTTCTTCTTTGCAGCAAGTAAGATCATATTCATGTAGTACTTCCTCTTAGCTGTAATGTAACTGGTGGACTTTGCTTGAGATTGAGATATCTATCATAGGTGCTTGTTTCTAACCTATATTTTGTTTTTCAATTTGTGATGAACACGTGTGAACTTGAATGCCAATATTAGTGGTAAAGCTGTGATTGTGAACTGTGATGTTTATGGGTGAATATAGGGTGGCAGTCTTGGGTCATTCTCCACTGATATTTGTCGGCTATTGCATCTCTGTGAGGAGGAAGATGATGCCTCTAGTCCATTAGCTGCACCCAAGCCTGAACCTAATGATCATGCTATGCAGGCTGGGGGTAAGGCCATATTCCAAGAGGTGAGTGTCTTTGTTCTTTTTAGGGATAAATAATTTATTTTGGCCATAATAATTTTGCGGTCTCTGTGGCATTAGCTGACTATGTAATGATTTTGAAGTTTCTCTGTTTTTTTTTTTTGGGTAAATAGTGGTGCCTTACTTTAAGTTCGTTCATAAATCACAAATGCTTCATAAATGGTTGATATCGTCTAATGCAAACTGAAAGATATGGTCTTTCACATCCGCACCAAATGTGATAAGATAACTTTTTTTTTCAAAGGAATATGAAAGGGGGTTGTTTTACTCCAGATATTTAGTGTATACCAAAACCAAACAAAATCTATTTTTCTCTGTTATATTTGGATTGAATAAATATATATGTTTATTTATCTTGTGAAACTTATTGCTCCTTTCTTGACAATTGAATCACATCTATTATTTATCTAGAAGTCACAAGAATGTACATTCAAATGGATTGCAAAATAAGACAATATGCTTATATTATTTTCTGTTTCTCCATTCCCTCTTCTTTATATTTTTTTCCTTAATTTTCGTTTATTTATATCTTTCTTTGCTTTTTATTTATTTATTTATTTGTTGTGTGTTTTTTTTTTTTTTTTTTTTGGGGGGGGAGGTTAAAGGAGATGAAGAGTATTGTATAAAAGGGGCCAAGTAAATTAGTCACTGATGGGGGGGTGGCTGGGTCGGTGGGAAGTGAAATGCACCTCGGATTTGTGGATCTGATATAAGTAGTGGCAGATAAGAGAAGAAATAAAAGAGGCAGCTGAAAAAAGTTGGGGTTTTTTCTTGCTTGGTTTTAGAAATTAGAGAGAGGGGAGCATGGAGAAATGTAATAGTTAATGTGCATAGAAAGTAAGGATATTAATGTGCATAAAAGGGAAAATAAGGACATTATTTATTTATATACTTATTTTTGTAGTTTTATTATGTAAAAATTATATTTTATATTTTTTTTAATAATTGATCATGAATCTTATGATTTGTGATACATTGCCATTCACGATTTGATTATAGGTCTCTGATTTATGAATCAATTCCCGATTTAATAACCATGACCCTTAATGCTTTGCGCATGATAAACCCATCCCTTTCTATATGGTTGGGAGAAAATCAAGTTATTAATTCCAGCTACTTTGAGCTACAGAATACATATTTGAAAGTGATAAATTAAAGCATAATGCATTTTTTTGTTAAAACTTTTCTTCTTTTTACCTCGTGATTCAAACTTTGGCTTTTAATCCTTATTCTTTTCAGTTTGTAGACTCTGAAGTGTTACCAAAAAAAAAAATACAGGCTCTGAAGTGATTATTGTTTGATCATGTTTCATAGGTTGCTTGAACTTTGTAAATTGGACTAACTCTGTTGGGCTGCATGGAACAGTCATTGACCGACAACCCTGATTTAAGAGAAACTGATTCTTCTCAGGAAAGCAGAAAGCGGGCTTTCTTTGCAATTTTCTGATAATTAGACTGGCCACAACAGTGAGTGGTACAGGTAGGGTTGGCTGGTTTGACATGGTTGAACTAGGGTTAAGGGCTATATGTGTATTTTGGGGTTTGAACTTGTTAAGAGATATATATAAACCATTGATGGGCCTTCACCTAATAGCTTAAGCTTTTGGGTTGAAATGGTTCTTTAGATGGTATCATAGCCTCAGTATCACAGGTTCGATCCTCACTGCCCCCCATTTTCTCTTGTGGAATTTCTTGGCACATGTAGGTGGACCTGTGCATTATCCACCCTTCATGTCCAGTGGGCTCTCTTGTGTGAGGGCGTGTTAGAGATATATATAAACCATTGATGGGCCTTCACCTAATAGCTTAAGCTTTTGGGTTGAAATGGTTCTTTACAGAACTCAAACTAGGCAGGGGAAACCTACTTATTACCAAATACTAATAGCATGATGACAGCTGAGGGGTATACTATATATATCCATGGATTTGTGCGAGAGAAAATTGGTCTTTGGGCTATGTAATTTTTGAGAGCGGTATATATTGGTCTAGTTCCTGGTTTTCTGATTAAACTGTCTAATATGAGTCAGTTTTTTATTTTTTCCTCACGGGAATATAATATCTATAATTGTAAGTGTACAATATACATTTCTTGGTAATATATACATTCTTTTTGTAATATATGCATTTCTTGCCCATCTATGGAACAAGATGTTGGAGCGTCTCATAGATTACCAGGGTGATTGAATCATTTGTAAGTGTACTGTTTTGGATCTGTATCGGTCAGATGAAATTATCTGCCCTAATTGAATGGTTATTTTCTATTGCAGCGCACCTTAGGCTAGTTTTTTTTAATGTCCTTTTTTATCTTCCTGTTTTGAATGATGAAAAAGAAGAGAGAGGCTGTAATGGTTTAGCCATGCCTTGAGCTTGTTTGCTTTTAAAGATTGACATATTACCCCAAAGTGCAGTATCTACTCTTACACATTGTACTTTTATCTAGTGTTTCAATGCTGGTCTGGTTTCAATATTGGATCTCACCTGTGATTGTAATAAATTTCCTTATTTAACTGTAAATCAGGGCCAACAGCAACATGATTTCCCATTGGTTGATGAGTGCAAACAATCCACGTCAGGAGTTCAAAGTGTGGCGGCTAACAACCCAGATGGGCCTGCTTTAGGATATCATCAGTTTGATTTGCATCAGGACTTCAATCACAGCTTTTATACTAGTTTTAATGCTACAGGTTATTCTGAGGAGGATGCTATTCCTCATATATCTAGCTATCTACCAAGTATCTGTCCTCCTCCTTCTGCTTTCTTAGGTCCAAAATGTGCACTTTGGGACTGTCCAAGACCTGCGCAAGGGATGGACTGGTGTCAAGACTATTGCAGTAGCTTTCATGCTGCTCTAGCTTTGAATGAAGGGCCACCAGGCATGACCCCAGTTCTACGGCCTGGGGGCATCGGTTTGAAGGATAATTTGCTTTTTGCTGCTCTTAGTGCAAAGGCACAAGGAAAAGATGTTGGCATCCCAGAATGTGAGGGAGCAGCAACTGCAAAGTCTCCGTGGAATGCACCTGGTAATTTAATCTTTCAGTATCTTTTATTTGGTTTACCTGTTAGCCTTAGGCTATTATTTTAGAAAAATATCTGCTACAAGGGTTGACAAGATGTTCTTTGTTCAACTAATTCACTTCTTGTTTGATTGCAGAGCTCTTTGATCTTTCTGTTCTTGAGGGTGAGACTATTAGGGAGTGGCTCTTCTTTGATAAGCCTCGAAGAGCATTTGAGAGTGGAAACAGGAAGCAGAGGTCATTGCCAGATTATAGTGGACGTGGTTGGCATGAATCTAGAAAGCAAGTGATGAATGAGTTTGGAGGGCTGAAGAGATCCTATTATATGGATCCGCAACCACTGAACCATTTTGAGTGGCACCTTTATGAATATGAGATTAGCAAGTGTGATGCATGTGCCTTATACCGATTGGAACTGAAGCTTGTTGATGGGAAGAAGAACTCGAAGGCAAAGGTAACAAATGATTCAGTTGCTGATCTGCAGAAGCAGATGGGAAGGCTCTCAGCTGAGTTTCCGCCTGATAACAAAAGGCCTGCCAAAGGCAGAGCCAAACTTAATGCCAAAGTTGGCATGGGTGGTGTCTATTCAGCTTCACAAAGAGTGACTCCACTAAATGGAACATACGAGTATGGGTTAGCTGCACCTTATGACTATATTGTTGAAAACATGGGCGACTATTATGGGACATGATCTATCTTGGAGCTGCATTCAACTGGGTTATACATTATTCTGTGCTGGGTTTTTGTTTTATCCTCTTTTTTCTGATTTGGCTTTTTCAGTCTTTCTCTTAAGTAACAAGAATCCAAGGTCATTTTTTGCCTTGTCGAGATATTGTGAATAGCTCATTCTCACTGGAGTGCGGCATTAGAAGCTCTGCTGGATGCTGAATTCTAACTTTGAACTTAACAGCAAAAATGGCTGTATATCCGTATGATTAGCAATTTGGTGATTGCTAGAATCTAATTAGCATCACCGGAATTGACACTGTTTAGGCACAAACTTGCTGTGATTCAGCTGACTTTATTTCCCAAATCATGCTAATGTAAGTCATTTATACTATTTTATGGTATTAACTGCGGGACAAACCTTCGAAGGTACATAATATTGGCTGTGTAATAAAATGTATCAGTCCTCTTTTGAGTAATTTTTCTATAAATCAAGAAAGGAATCTTTGAAATTCAGCAGTGATATGATCTACCTTGTCTTTGATGTTTTCTTGTCATCTTATTTGAGATTGAAATCTTGTCACTGATTTACTATAATGACGATCATGACCATGGTTAGTGACAAGTTTCGCGTATAAATTCCCCTCGACAAAGAAAAAAAAAAATATAGCAAATAGTGATAGTTTAGTTGGTAGTAAGGGAACTGAGTAAGTGGAAAGGAAAATATCTCGGTTTGATTTTCATATGTCACATTTAGGAAGAATTTAAATATCTTCATTTTTTTATTCGTCTCGTATTCTGAATTAGTCTCGTAACCGGCTCACATAATAGAAGTTTGTGGGGATACGGTGGGGGGGGGATTAACTTGTTTTAAAGAGGTAATTAGGATAGTCGGCTCAAAGAGTAAAAGCTTGTGAGGATACGGATACGGTTGGGGGGGAGTCAACTCGCTTCAAAGAGGTAATTAGGATAGCCGGCTCAAAGAGTACGGTTGGGGGGGGGGGGTCAACTCGCTTCAAAGAGGTAATTAGGATAGCTGGCTCAAAGAGTAGAAGCTTGTGAGGATACGAGAGAGCCAACTCGCTTCAAAGAAGTAATTAAGATACTAGAGAGAGCTAACTTGCCTCAAAAAAGTAATTTGAGTTGGGTTAACTCAAATAAAAAAAGAAAAAGAAAAAAAGTATTTGTTGTACGTTTGAGTTAGAACAGGTAAAACATGTTTGCTCCATCAGGTTGACTAGTCTTAACATGTTATACATAACGCGTTGGGTTGAAAGTCTCAATTTACCAAATTGTTTCTACCCGTCCTGTATAATTCCGGGTCAAAATGAGTTGAATCTTTCATGGGATGGGTTGATTTTTTATTTTATTTTATTTTTATAAAAATCTTTTCTTTCACGCAATGTGACTTGTGACCTTAGCATTTGTGACTTTGACGATGAGCTGCAAATGGGGGACTAATTTTCATTCCTCAAAGATTCACCTGGCGAAAAATGAGGATTTGGTGGAAGGCTTGAATTGGGTCATGGGACTCTTCGTTTTGTGAACAGTGGTCATGTCCATAATTCCACAAAAGGAGCTACTCTTCCTGAAAAAAAAAGGGTGTAAGCCATACCTTTACTTCACAAGAGGCTTCTGGCAAAATGGGAGCAATTGCAAGTTTGTGAATTGTGCTGATTCGTGGATGACATTGTTAGTTCTCATACTAAGTTTAAGGGATTGGAATAGCTTGAGGAGATTATCCGGAAAGGCTGAGAAGGATAGAAGATAACTTCATCTTCACACGACAATTACATTAACTTTTTTTTTAATAGACAATTACATTAACTTTTTTTATGCATAAGCAAAGTGATCCCAGAGGTTCATCTATAAAATTTAAATTAAATTAAGGGAGAATTATATTTACAAATTTTTTGTTTACAAACTACACACTCGGAAGTACATTAGGTTACACTATGTACTTTCTGGAATACATAGGGCCCGTTTGGATGAGCTTTTTAAAAAATGACTTTTTATATATTGCTTTTTTTAAAAGAATTTTTTCTAAAACATAAAGTTATTTTACGTTTAGATGTATGATCTGAAAATCATTTTTACATAAAAAAATTATTTGGATGTTAAAATAAAAAAACAATTTTTATATATAAAATTACAATAAAGAACAGATAAGATAACATGATCGTGGGATAAGAGAGATAAAATAGATATGATAAGATGAGGTTAAATTTGTATTTTAAAAATTTATATTATCTTATTTCCAAAAAAAAAAAATTATATTATCTTTTAATTTCTGCTTTTTTCAAAAGCAACCAACTACAAAAAAAACAGTATTTTAACTTTTATTTTAAATTTTGCTTTTTTTAAAAGTTGTTATACAAACATATAAAAATTCTCAAAAAGACTTTTATTTTTAAAAAAAGCAACTTTTTTAGAGATAAAATAGCCCATCCAAACGGGCACATAGTATAATTTGCAAAAATTTATAAATAGATCATTCTCTATTAAATTATGTCAAAAAATTGGGCATCCTTTTTATACAATTTTTTTTCTTGGCGGTTTGACCCATCAACTTGCCATAAAATATGATGAGAAATACATTTGTCATGTTACATGACAAATGAATAGTTGTGATGTTAAGAAAAAGACAAATTATATAATATTAAAAAAGTGAGAGGACACATTATTCAATAAATTTATTTTGTCTTTTTCTTAATATAACAACTATTCATTTGTCATGTAACATGACAAATGCATTTCCCAAATATGATAGCTTAAAACTTTGTTTTGTTTTCATAAATAGAAGTATAAAACGGCCGGGTTGACCCTTTTTTCAGCTCTAAATTTTAAATTCCGGAGATAGTCATAATCACGTTTAAGAGGAAAACGCACCTCAATTACTCTCACATTAATTTTGGAAAAATAAAAACTAACTTGATTCTAGAACTCAAGTAGAGTCATAAAAGAAGTAATAAATAGTTGCCCTCATGATAAATGAAGTTATTTTTAAGGGAATAGAATCAAGTAAATGCAATCAGTTTCGAATATATATTAGTTGTTCATGTCTCTTGCGAAATCGGCTATGCACCCAACTAAAAAGTGGTTTTGTTATCAAAAAAAAAAAAAAAAAAAAAAAGTGGTTTTTTTTAAGAATAGATACTTTTTTGGGTCCATAATAAAAAATACAGAACTCATTTTAATCTTTTAGAAGAAAAAAAAAGTCTGAATTATGGTCCCTATAAAATTTTAATTCTTTAAAATTGTAGCCCCTCAGAAATTCAAAAAAAAAAAAAACCTACATCAATTCCTAAAAAAGATATAAATATATTTTTTTCTAAGAAATTAAAATGAGTTCCGTATTTTTTATTGAAGATCCAAAATAATATTTACTCTAAAATATTTTAGACCAAACTAATACCTGGACTCTTATGAATTTTGAGTTGCAACATTAAAATTGTTTGTAGGAACCAATGGTAATTGATTCAAGTGATAAGAAATTTATTTGCCTTGGTCTCGAGTTTTGAACCCAACTAATCAAATAATTGATTAAGCGGTGGATATGTAAAAAAAAATTAAAAAATTGTTGGATTAGAAAAAAATGCATACGATCATTAACGGAATCTATCTGCTCTTTATGTCATTTGGCGAGACCATCAGTGTAGTATGTGTGCAATAATATTTGTGTACTGATCAATGAACCATTACCATGAGGAATTACACGAGCTTCAAATGAGACTCACTTCAGCCAAAAATGCTGAGTAGATTCAAATTATTTTGGCTATTATAGTAAAATGTCTAATAATTTGTTGCAAAATTGGTATACTAGTGCGATTCAGTTCAGTTAACTATACAGAACTGAACCGGTTTTAAAAAGTTATTTAATTTTTTAATCGGTTTGAAGAAAATAACTTTGCTCTTAAATCAGATTGAAAAAAAAACACGATATAGTTCAATTTGATTAATTTAATTTTTTCACTCCTAAAAATAGATATAATTTGATTTTTAACCCAAATCAAACCAAATTAATAAATTGATTTAATTCTTGAACAGAACCGGTTTTAAAAACAAATACTTCAGATCTCTTATCAGTTCAAATAAAATGATTCGATTCTTAAATTCAGTTAAAAAAATATAATTCTTTTAATACAGTTTGAATAAGTTCACAATTTGATTCAGCTTATTTGCTTTTTTTTTTTTTTTCAGGCCCTACTCTACTAGTATGACGGGGATATAAAAAAGAAAAGGTTAAAACCAGGTGAACAAGATCCACCAAGGTTCCACGTCAAACCCCTTTCTCCAGGTTGCTCCTAAAGGAAAAGAAGATCCAAGAGCTTTCAGCTTTACATATGCAACCAACACATACCCTAATATTAAACTAAAATAGGGCTAACATAGCTTCCGATCAAAGTGGCTTCATTCAAATAGACAATTATTCTTATGTTCTTGTATAGATGCATTACAATCTGTTTAAAGTTTACATAGGAACTAAGCTTGTAGTGGCATTGGTGCTCACAACCGGAACTGACATAATTACAGGCTGGACAGTTATTCCATTCACTGCCACTAAAACTGGATTCTTAGTTCTTACAATCACTGAGCACCATCATCCTCGACGGTGTTCACCCGTTCGCATTCATCAATCCATTCACTGTATCTGCATCATTGCAATAAAACTACTTGAGTCACGTGGCTGTGTGTGGGGGAAGGGCTGTGTGGGTGAATGTGGGAGAGAGGGGATGGAGAAGGATGTTTTCAAGATAGTAATTGGACTTACATGTCTATTGCCTCAGATAAAGCTGCAAAGAGAACAAAAATGTGAGATCATTAACTAAATCTACAATGCCTATGCTCTCAGCATATATATAAAACAATGAATACCTGACTTTCCAGATCACTTTAATAATATCAAAAAAATTAATTTGTGTTTTCTTCTGATGGCCACAAATCTGTTATTCTTATTTATTTATTTTTGAAATGCCATGAAATTGAGATGAAAGGTCTGCAACGCTACTTGGCATATAACAATAAGTTCATTAAAGAAGGAAATTAAAAAACATCATGATAGACCAGTGTCAAGGGAAATCTTCAGTATCAAGTTGTTATTTATAAACATCAAGAAGATATTTTATTTACATACCATCATAAAAGTAAGCACTATATACCCTCTGGAATTAACTGCTGCTTTAAGAATAAATGTTGTAGATGTTAAACACAGCATATAAAAACAAACCTGTGATGGTAGTGCTAAAGCTCTCTTGACATATCCCGCAAGAAGCTTCCCCTATCAAGTTCTTCATATCACTGTCAAAAGATTTCCAAAAATGAGCTACAGACAGAGTAGTATTCATCCCTAACATGAAAAATGGAGGGATAGTGAGTGATTTCAGAGAAAATTAGCCTTAAATGTCTTTGGATGCACATGCAAGGAAACAAAAGGCCTACATGCTACTACCCTTTACAAGTAGTTAAAAAAATGCATACATGCGGCATTCAACACTGGTGCCATGATTGCAGAAAGGGCAGCTAAAGACAGTGTCAAGCTTATCCATTCGTTTCTTTGGAGGTGGCTTTGTTTTTGCCTTCCTCTTTCCCATAGCTCAAATCCTGATTTTCATTTCATATATTCAAGCACGCAAAAATTTCAGAAAAAGTAAAGACAACAACTATGCATTTTAAGTCATATTGCCAATTAAAGTTTTCCAGCAGTACATTAAGATATGTAATTATTTTCTCATCTTTCAACACTGAATAACGCTAATTGCTATTCAAAATAGGATTTCAAGACAAATAAATATGAAATAGAATGCTATAAGGGTAAAACATATCATATGCGTGTTTCCTAGGATTAACAATTAACAACCTATACACTGCGAACAGTAATACAAGCCCTTTTTGACAATAGTAAATACCAGGAAGGTTGATTTCACTTTATTGTATTTATTTTTCACAATTATTCAAGAAAAATAAAATTCTTCACAGATTACCCATCAATCCTAGAATACACATGATGAACTGATGATCCCGATTCCCAAACACCGACGCATAGATTAACCTCATCGATAAGGGAAAAAATTTATGTAACAAAAAGCTCTCAACTTTCTGACTCGCTTCATTGCGCATCGTTTTTCATTCCCGCAGACATAATAGGCGATAAACAATCCATCAAAGTTGAAAGAAAACACAAAATTTAGCAAAACAAAGTTAAGCCCATTTTCCCCCATTTGTTTCCCGAATTTTCTCAGCAGCCAAACGGCGTAAGGAAAAAAGGGGAATGGAATCAAATCAAACGAAACCCTAAGCGATGGAAAAAAGGTAAAATAAAGAAAGGATGAAATTGCATACACAGATCGAAACAATTAACAGACTAACCAATGATTCTGAGTCAGGAACCGACCACGATCCGCAAATTTCCGAGGTAGAGAGAGATTAGAGAGTGTTCGCAAAATGAAAGGAAAGCGTATTGACGACGCGTACAAGTGTACAACAGAACAAAGGGGTTTTTATGTTTAGAGCTTTTCTTCAATATATAACCGCGGAAACACATGACCGATCATATTTCAATCAAAGAGTGTATGACTCATTATACGTAGTGTAATTTGTAAAAAAAATTATAAATGGATCATTCCCCTATATGTATCAATTGATTTATCATTTTGCGATTGATTCGATTTGAAACAGATCCCAGATTAAGGCTTTAAACTCTTTGCAAAGATAGTCCCTGGGAGGTCAATTCTTATTTTATATACAATATAATTTGTTTTTGGAAAAAATATTTTTCATGTTACATGACAATTATTTTCTTATGTTGCACGGAAAATGTTTTTTTGTGGCGTGAACCCTTCTATTTGTGTGTAAGCTTTTTAAAAAAACTAAATAAATAAGTATGGGTCTACCACTAGTTGAGTCACAATATGAGAAAACATTTTTCATGCAACATGAGAAGTGTTTAACCCTTTATCTTTTAAATATAGTTTAGTTTCTAAGGGTCCTTTGGTTACGTATCATATCCTATATTTATTACTTATTTGGTGAATCAACAAGATATGATAACATTTCATCCTGAATTTATTTTAAGGAGACTCGGGTTAGAAATGGATAAGGTATGAGATTCCAAAGACTGTACAAGTATGAGATTGAACAGTTGAGGATGACTTAAAAGATTTAATACATACTACCTATACTAACAAAATACATTTACTTGAAGCAACTCCATAGTTAAGCATGTTTAACTTGAGCAATTCCGAGATGGGTGACCTTCTTAGAAAGTTTTCAAAGGAAGCATGTGAGTGAGGATAAAACATGACGAAAAGTCTCGTGTTAGTTTGTGGGGACTGTAAGAACCCGCACCGTTAATTAAGGAATTTAATTAATAAATTATGAGAAAATAGGAAATGATTCCATAATTGACCCTAATAATTATTATGAGGCTTTAATAATTATAGTAAGTGAGTAATAATACTGAAAGTCGCTTTTCAGAAGAAAAGTGCAGATACCGGTTCTGCTAGTCGGTATAAATGCGTACCGAAAAAGTGTCCCGGAAAATTATAATAAGTGTATGATAATTACTAGAATAATGTGTAAGACTTGTAAAACGAGTTTCAAGTCAAAATAATGAAAACTGGTGCCAGAATCTGGTACTGGCTATGAAAAACGCGTACCAAAAAGGTGCTCCGAAAATTATAAGAAAAATATGATAATTCTTGTAAAATTGAGTAGGTTAAGAATACAAAGTTTGGAATTAAAATGCTAAGTGTAGCAATTAAATTTAATACTGTGTGTTAAAGGCTTAAGTGGCTATATATATGCATTTTGGGCACTAAACCTTAGACATTCCTTTTGTTCTCTGAGTGTTGGGCGGCTGGTCAGTTTTGTGTTAGTGTGCTACTACATTCTTCTTCATTTTGTTGAGCTTGAGTGCCATTTTCTACCTCTTTCCTTCATCAAACTCTTTGTGGGAGAGAGACTAAGCCTTGGGAGTGGGTGCGAGACTTTGTTTTTGAACTTGAGCCTCTGTTTTGTTGAGTTTTTGGGGCTGAGTTCATAAGTCTTGAGGGGGGGGGGAGTCTTGTCATGACTTGATGATGCTCCTAGAAGCCTCTTTGGTGTGAAAGAATCAAGCTTTATAGGTTCATTTTCGTTCTCCCCAAAGTCAGAACCTTGAAGCTCACTTGTGAGCTCCAAGAGCACCTTTGGTGGGCTGTTTTGGACTTTGGTGAGTTGTCTAACCTTTGATCATAAGTTTAATGGTTTAAAGTTGATGTCTTGGTATGTTTAAAGACTTAAACAAGTAACCAACAATTGTATGAACCTCTATGAACCTAAAGATGCATGTTTTAACGTTTGAAAGTGTTAAAAATGGAACCTTGGAAGGATATCTTTGCGAAATGCAGAAACTGCATTCTGTCGCGAAATATCCGAATATTTGGCCGTGAAATATCCGGATATTGATATACGGATATGGATATCCGGATATGGATATCCGGATATTGATATCCGGATATTGCCAGAGTGATATCCGGATATTGGATATCCAGATATTTCCTGTGAGATATCTGAATATTGCATATCCGGATATGTCCTCGAGGAATATCCGGATATTCTGGGTTTGCGAGGAATAGTAGCGTACTGTTCATCCAGAACTGATCTATGGGTTTGTGGACCCAAGTTTGAGGAAGTTGAACTTCTGTAATTAATTAATGTAAGTCAGAATCGTATGATTAAGGGCTTATGGCTTGGGGAGAAGCCTTAAGACGTAAAACGTAATGGAAAGGCGTTGTCTTAATATTGTATGCTTGCGGTGCATGTTGTTGATGTATTGTTGGTCCATAACAGATTGTGAATCTGCTGTGTTTGGACTTTGACATGTGGACTCTTGGCTTTGGGTGTTAGCTTGCAAGGTAAGCTTTCGTGTCCTCGGTTTAGCCATGTTGTGGTTCCACCATGTCCCATGGGGGTGTGGTTATATGCATGCTGTGTTACATGCTTTGAATATTTGAAATGCTGTTGAGCTTTATGTGTAATGGCTTTTAATATGCATGTGTTGTTTCATCTTGACGGTAAGCCTGAGTATGTGGCATCATACGATATGGTGATCCGGGGAGAATGCAAGTGGCGTCTTGCACTATGTGTGGGTATTTGGCGTATATAAATCCTGCATTTCTCTGGCCAGTAGAATAGAATTGACACACATGACATGATTATCTGCTGCATTGCACTATTTTAGAAATGATATTGATGAACTGCTTTTAAACTTATATTGCACATGTAAGTGAGCTTGGGGTGGAAGATCCTTGAGGACCCCTTGTCTTACTGAGATTTATTGTTTAGAGATCTCACCCCACGTTTGGGGAATGCTTATTTCAGGTTCAGGTAGTATGGTGACTGATGCCTCTGGCGGAAGGAGGCCAGAGCTTAGCTGATTATGATATTTATGTTGTAGTGCTGCATGACTGGATGTGGATGTTGTTTATGTTTTCCGCTATTTATGATTATGTGGTTGTTGAGACTGATGTTGGGCTATTGCCTTATTTGAGTGAGCACGGGGATTGTCCATGACACTTTCTGTTAGTACTTTTAGATTGGAGTTGTATAACCTGCTAGTTGGTCCGGCCTACTTGTGGTAGTCCCGTGATTTCTAGAGACACACTTTTATTATCTATGTTATGAGGTACTTCAGTTAGCTATTTTATTGCAATTGCATACATGCGATGTTTTATTAATTAGTTAATAAGCAAGTTGGTAATGATAATGTCATCATAATTGAAAAGAAAAAGATATTCCGCATTTTTAATTAAGCGCTGCTTAATACGATAGTATGATAACATTACCGGATATATACAGGGTGTTACAGGGACAGTCATTGATATTACAAGTAGCCAGACATTACAAGTGGTATCAAAACAGAACCTCTCTCCCAGTACGGTGTGGTTCGAGGATGAACCAAATGGAAGCTGGTGGACATGTAAATCCCAACGGCTGGCAAGGGCATGGGGTGATCGCTGGTGCAAAAGAGGCACAGACAATGAGCGGCTCATGCCAAATATTGCAGCTATGAGGTACATGAATGAATCAAATCAACATCCGAAAAAAGAGGGATTACAAAAACTGTGCTAGTATGGGACACTACAGTTGAGGATGACTTAAAGGATTTAATATGTACTACCTATACTAACAAGATGCATATACTTTTCGTAGCTCAGAACAGAAGAACTTAATAGTTAAACGTGCTTACTCGGAGCAATTCTGGGATGGGTGACCTCTTGGGAAGTTTTCCCAAGAGGTGTGTGAGTGAAGACAAAGCACGCTGAAAAGTCTCGTGTTGGTTTGTCGGGACAATCATTAATTCTACAAGTAGCCAGGCATTACAACCACTACCATGGTCATCGGCTACCACTATCACAAACATCACCATGACCATTGAAGAGCTATCACAATTTTCATTAGTCACCACCAACACCATTGTTGCTACCATCACCTATTCCATCGGCTATCCCATTTGCCACCATCGCACCAACCACTGTCATTGATGTCGTCTGCCCGCTGTTACCCACCACCAAGCACCAACCATCATCGCCGCCACCACCACCACCACCATTGTTGCCGCCATCAGCCAACCATTATAATTGCCACTGGTCACTACTAGGGCCACCACATCTACAACATCCATTACAACCATTGTTTATGTCGCTATTGGTCACTCCACCACCACTAACCAGCCATCGCTACCCCTAACCACTAAGCATCAACTATCATTGCCATTGTCGGTCATCGTTGGCGTCGCCACCACCACTACTTCCACTAGTCACAAATGCACCAACCACAACCATTATTGCCATCTCTATTGGCTACCACCACCACCACCATCATCACCAACCAAACACCACCTCGGGTCATCGCCACCCACAAACACCAAGCGCCAACCATCACCGATATCATTAGCCACCACTTCCACCATCATTAATTAGTAGCAAAAATTGTCACCGCCCATTACTGGCACCATTTCAGCCTACCACTTATCGCACCACCACTAGCCGCTAACTTGCACAAGTTAACGGTCACAAATATTGACAACGAATTCAATTTTTAAAAATTTATTTGGTAAGGATATAATTTTTTATTTTAAAAAAATTGTAAGTTATTTATGTATTTTAATATATTTTATTTAAAATTATAAATTACTTTTTTTGTAATATTTTAAAATAAGAACTAATGTGTAAGTAAGTAAAAAAAAACATAGCTTCAAAATTAATTTCAAAAAATTATATGAAATTCTGTTAAAAATGGTATTTTTCCTATTTATATCATATCATGACACCATATGATTCGCTTCAAATACCGAATATGATAATATTATCTATTAGACTTCTTATCTAATGTACATCAAACACAAGATAAGATATGAACTCATGCTCATATCCTTTCCTAATGCTATCCAACAATTTTATCCTATCTATTCTTATCATATAAACAAGCCCTAAATTTTTTCTTGAATATAA